GAAGGAAGGTTGGGCAATCCTACTTCTGTAGTGATACTGCCTCGGAAACCCAAGGAGGGGTCGCTATGAGTCAGGCTGACTCGACGGCACATAACAACAACAACAACAATCCTCACATTCCTTTCATATTCATTAGCTAGAGTCCTTCGGTAAAACAGGATTTCCCTTTTGTCAACTAGGATTATCTGGTTCCCATGGAATATGGTTTGTAAAGGAAGCAGGAACCACATTTTAAAGGAGAAAATAAGTTACTAAGTGTATCTAGAGAAAGGAGACCAAGATGGTTAATGTCATTATGAGATAGTTGAGAGATGGTTTAGTATGAAGAAAAGAAGACACAGAGAAGGAGGTGCTGAGGAATGACAGTTGTCTGCAAATAGTTTAGGACTCCTCATGTGGAAGAAGGAGCAGAGAACTGGGATACCAAACTGCAAAATCCACTGCCACCAAATCAATTCCACCTCACAGTGACTGTTTAGGACAGGGGAGAATTACCCCATTAGGTTTCTGAGGCTATAAATCTTTATGGAAACATACTGCCACATCTTTTTCCTATGAAGCAGCTGGTGAATTTGAGCTGCTGAGCTTTTGGTTGGCAGCCAAGCGCTTTAACCACTGCACCATGAAGGCTCCTTTTGACACTTGGGATAGGCTATTACCAATCAGATTTTATATTCATATAAATTAGCCTGTGACAAGTACAACTGCAGTGCAAAAGACTTTTTTGTGAAGTTGTGAATTCCTCATAAATGAAGAGTCTAGGACACTGGTCTTCTATTTTAGGAAATGCTGAGTTCAATAGGAGTATCTCAATAGGAAGTAAAAGACAGGGCTAATTTTTTGAACAATTTTCTTATTCTTTTTTTTTTTTTGTATGTGATTTGGGTGAAAGATTACAGAGCAAATTCATTTTCCATACAGCAGTTCATACACATTTTGTTTCATGGCATTGATTGCAATCTCCATAATGTAACAGCTCTCTTCCTACATCCTCAGGCTGATTTTACAAATAAAGCTACTTAGGATGGGATTTTCCTTTAAAAATGAGTTCCATGTTGACATGAAGTTTGGAAACTACTGGTAGGAGTCTTGGACTATGAAGTGATGTAACCCAAGTTCTGGTGGCAATGTCATACACCTACCTGGTTACTTTACCCAGAAAGTATGAGCTTATTCCTTCTCCCTCCTCCTTGTTAACTAATCATGGGGCCCTCTATAGCCCATATTCACTCCACTTCTTTCCATCTTCTTTTTCACTGTTCAAATTTAGGCCACCGAACCCGTTCATCCTAATCACAAAAACCGCTGCTCTTCCAATACCTAGTTTTTGCCTAATCCAGCCAGGTCAATTCCTTTTATGATTAAACTTCACAGAGCTTAGTTCTGATAGCACCCAGTTTAAAACACTGCTCATAAGATACAAGTCTAAAGTTACTAATATGGTCTACAAAACTCACTCTCTCTCTCACATTCACATTCTAAACACTCTGGAATTCTTTCAATTCTCAGCATGTATGAAATGCACTCTTATCTATGGGCCTTTGGACCATTGCTCTCTCTGCCTCGAATCCCCCCTCTTCACTTAGCCTCTATTCATTCTTCAGGTTTCCATTTAAATGATACAAAAATCTCCTCTGTCCAGATTACTCTTGATTTTTGTTAATATACTCTCACAGTAATCTGGAGTACTTTTTGGTGCACACATCACAATTATAATTAACTATGTATGCAATCATGTGTAATGTCTGAGCAGAAACCTTGTCTGTTTTGTTTGCCACTGTAACCAGGCCTCTTCAAACAAGGCATATACTAGACACTTAATATTTATTTCTGAACGAACAGTTCTTGATGATAGCTTAAAACACTAAAAACTGAGATGGAAACTTCAAAGAGCTCTGATCACGGAATGGTACCTGCTGTGGCATTTTCAAGGTGATTCCGTTCTCTGTGCTCACTGATGTCAGAGTAACAGATACTACCAGGAAAGGATGAGGAATGTAGCGTGACATGGAGACCTCCTGAAGAACTTGAATACTGGCAGTAGTATTTGGACTACAAAAAAAAAAGAAACCACACATCTTAACAACAGTGCTAACAAAGTTTTTTTCCTTCTCCTCTAGTGATAATATTATTAGGTTTCATACTTATGGATGACTCAAATGCTGTCCACCTACTGTCCTCTCCCCCAAATTTCCTTTAATTCCTTCAAGCAATAAGCTGATAAGGTTGAGGGATCTGGCCAGTAAGGTATAGGAATGAGGAAGAAAGGGAACAAGATGAAAAAGAGAAAGAAAAAACTAGGTAGGGAAGAAGCTGTAATAAAAGTATTTAAAGGGGAAAAAAACCTTGTTGGTTGGGGGTGAGTATATCTAACCTGAGGATAAATTTTTTAATTTTTATCTTTACATTACTCCCTTAATCACTGTTTTACTTCAGCAAATACATGCTTTGTGAGTGTTAAAAAATAACTGAGAACAAAATAATACTCAAGAGTTTTGGTCTCAACACTACAAGCTGGCCACAGGCCCAGAAGAATAAGGCAACATATACAGGGCAGGTCTACAGGACTGCCCTGGCACCCAACTCTAGCTACCAATCTCAGAGAAGTGATAAAGTTCACTGATGACAAGCTTCTTATGGCCTCATAGCTGCAGAACTCTAGAATAGTTCCCCAAATGTCTGGAACACGACAGTAAGCACTTCTTTTCAAGGTTTTGACAGGGAGGGGGATGATTTCATCCCTAACTAGATTTTTTTCCCAAATGAATCCAGGAAGATGAGCAGAAGAAGTCAGTGTAGGCTATTTCTATTTTTTTTTTTTTTTTTTAGCAAAAAAATGACTACTATATGATTCTCACTGATTAACACTCCTTGCCTTTCAACTTCTGTGACAAAGGAAACCAACTATACAAGTAGAATTACTGCTCTGAAAAAGGAAACTAGAGAGGAAATATGGGACAGTGGGTAAACAGTGATGTGTCATCTGCTATCCTCACCCATCAGATCTCCTTTCAATACTGTAAAGGCATATTGAACAGTCTGCTCGAAATACTATCACCATGTCCCGAAAGACACTAAGCAGTAACGTTTCTTCTTGTGCTTTGGTGACATGCGCAAATGCATTGTCCAGATTTGATGTCCGCAAATATACTCTGAGCTGAAGGGGACAGAAAGAAAGAAGATTGTAAAAACAAGATAATGACCACAGGTGAGTAAATACTTTAGAAATGCTGTTTTTAATCAACTGACTTTTCCCAGGGAATGAAAAGACCTATTTGAGCTGTAGTAATAAGTGGATAATGCTTCTGTTTTGGCAGGGTAGGCTCATTCTACAAATAACTGAAAGATGAAATGATCAAAATTGAACTGCAATATTATGAAATATTCCTCTTAGATATGATGATGTAAGGAGACTAGCAGTTTCTCAAAATACAAACATACAAATAAATAACTTAAGAAATCTCTAACAACACCCATCCTTATAACTAAACTTTTCCACTTAAACACAAGGTTTTTTAAATTTTCAATTCTTATAGATTGTCTAACAGCTAAAATATTTAGAAAAAGTTATTTCAGAAGTCTTGATTATCACTTCTAAAAGATTTTAAAAAAGGGTAACCTGAAATGAAAATCCCATTAGCTAGAGAACATCAGATTCTTGATTAAAAAAACAAAAAACAAAAACATATATATATACTTTCTTCAGTTTTCAATAGCTTATTTTCATTTAAAAGCAAATAGTGCTTAATATCTTTAAGATGTTAAAATCTGTTATTGCTGATGAAAAAAAAATTTTTTTTTTTTTTTTACCTCTTCTTGACGGTCACTTATGCTGTAACATGCAAGGACAATGAAATCATTCCACCAGGCTAAGCCACCTGTCACAATCATATTTTGTTCCTTAAAAGAACAGAGAAAACATTTACTTTTATTGATGCCATCAGAAATTACAAGAAGGTAATACACTTACAACATATTCTTAGGCAGACAGTGCAAGTTCAATTAACTTCTGCTCTACACTGTCTCTCACCAATAAGTATTACTCTAGGGCCTTTATTAATAATGATTCATATCCAATTTTTAAAAACAAACATTTTTGTAAAGCAGAAAGTACAGCATATGAAGTAACTGGGTACCACATAACATTATTATTTCCACATCCAACAGAACTAGGTTTAAATTCTGGCTTTATCATGTATCAATTGGGTGACTGTGAATCCTAGTTTCTCTTTTATAAAGTAGTAATGATACTACCCTCTAGTTTGTTAAGAAGATTAATGAGATAATGTATGTAAAAAGCACCTTAAAGTCCCTGGTAGACAGAAGGCACCTCCCTAATGTTGACTTCTTTCTCTTTTCCTCCTATTTGATCCTTGCAAATTCTAACTGCATATATATGTACACTATCCATATGTGTGTGTATATGTGTGTGTGTGTGTGTGTATCTCTAAACACACACAAGCAGGGAATGATCTCAAATTTTGTAGAAATTTATTCTGATCACATCTGATGAACTCAACCTGGAATGGAGTTGTCCCAAAGCCAAACAATTAAAATGTCTGACCTTACAGGAATTAAAACCAAACCAATAATTTCAATACAAGCTCCTTTATCAAGTATCAATTACTTTGCCAGAATCAACTCAACGACACAGCTTTATATCACTTTTTTATATCTGATTTTATGTATTTTGTAAGTAATAGTGGTTTACTTTATAGCCATTTCGTATTACAGCTCCCCTTACTGTGAGAAACAAGTTTTTAATTTCAAAAAAGACTGACCTGGGTAATATTTCCAAAAAGTTTCCATTTTTTGGTGAGTAAAGAGTAATGTGCAAAACCAAACTTGCCAACCACAGCAATATTCTGTCCAAGCTTATCAATAGCTGAAAACTATTAAAAAAAATAATAATAAATAAAATTAAGAACTCTTCTTTATATACCTATCTATGTATGTTCTTAGAAGAAAGCTTAGTGTTATATCTGGTAGACGGACTATTAATGTTCCCTAAGTGAATTATATCTAAAATGGTAAAGTTTAAAACCTGGATATTTATATGTAAGTTATATTTGACAAAATTATAGATGCTAATACACTGGCATGTACAATGGGCAACTATTAGAATTTTACTCTTACAATTAGTCCTACAAAAGGGGTCAATTCCCCAAATGCCTCTTGCAGCAAATGCTAACCAACCTAAGTAAACCAAACGAAGTTAACAACTCACCCGTATAGGCCAATTGCTCTCTAGATAGGTGCTGGAAATCTAAAGAAAATAATACATTAGTCTGGTAAGACTTCTGAACTGTATTTAAGCACTGAAAGCATCAATTCATTACAACGTAAGATTCATTTCCCTACACAATGGTTAAAATGCCTCTAAATGATGGATATTACCAGCACATACCAGGCATTTAACATCTGGATGCCAGCCAATATTTCGTGCCTCCTGACTTAATTTTGTCTCAAGTTTCTAGATGTCCAGCTTTCCTCCCTCCCCACAATGTTTTTTGTTTGTTTATTTTAAATACTGGCTACTCAATAAGTACAGACTGATGAGATTTTCAGAAAAACACCTGCAGGGCAGTTAGTAAATGGTGCAGATGAACACAGTGTAGGTTTACTGCTCTGAGACATTCCTAAACAAACTATATAACGAAGTTAGTCTCAGCAAGGGTTCTGTTTTTGTTTCTTAATGGAAATACTTTATGGCTTTTACATTTTCCTGATTAAAAAAGCAATATATACTTACAATATGAAATCCTCCCATTTTATTATTGCTCAGGGACAGCCACTGGTTAGCTTTTTTTCTATCTCTAACCAAATATCCATATACATGTGAGAGTGTGTATAGGTTACTATTTTTCTCCTAGGTGTTCAACTTACTCATCTACAAGAACTCCTAATATATGATGGAGATTAATCCTTCATCTGTATCATAAGCAGTAAATACATTTCCATATGCTTTCTTTGTACATGGTGTCTTTGGATCACTTTAACAAGAATCTTAAACTCAGAGTATCTCCAGTGGGATATGAATGTAAATGAAATAAATTCTAGCTTTACTAGTCTACTGATTAAGTAGCTTTCAAGAAGATAGAGGAAGAGCATAGGGAGAAGTAACAGAACAGAGGAAGTGTCTTCTGTTCCTGGAATAAAAGAAGCTTCAATTTATTCAAATTTATTTGCATTTTACTCAAAGAAAATTGTTACATATTTAAGAAAAGAAAGTCAAATCAAAAAGCCAAGTACAATCAAATCCAGTAAGAATGTTTGTGTAGTATGAAAACAAAACAAAAAAATCAAGTATTATTAACCTTGATAAAATTTATTCATAAAACTGTTAGACTTCATTTATCATCTCTTAAGTCAACTTAAAATCCAAGTAAATGAACAGCTTTTAGTACATTAGGAGGCTCACATTCCAAGTGCTGAATTGTAGACGACCACCTTGCAGAATTAAAGATCTGAGAGGGTCACGGATATGCTTGGGTGCCTTAAGTGAAGCTTAACAATATGAGGTACCATTTAGGCCAATCAATAGAATTTACTCTGATGGGTGAAATTAGTGCAGAATCAGTGAGCTTGAAGTAATGATTGGGAGGCAAAATAAAAGTTGAAAGCAGTTTTCCAGGAGGCAGTTAAGTGAATTCTTCTTTTGGATGAAGCAAAGAAAATATAAATATTCACTTGAAGAAGATGTGCCTGACAGGGAAGTGGTAACTATGGGGAAGAAGTGGGAAGAGAGCCACTGTATTGTGGGAAATTGCAGTCAATGTCATGAGACAAAGTGTATGTGAAATGCTATACGGAAAATGAATTTGCTCTGTAAACTTTCACCCAAATGACAATAAAAATAATAAAAAAAACAAAAAGAAAGATGTGCCCGAATATAATTGAGCCAGCCACTCATGACACTAAAAACAACTCTGTCTTCCCCCCAACCATGTGTTTCTTAAGCACTTCTGAAACATGTGGGTGGTAAACTGGGAGCCGGAATCTCACTGCAAAAGTAGATTCCAACATGAGACCTTCTAATCATGGCAACCGAAGTTGAGTCCTATTATATGATCATACTCATGTATGAAGGTGTTACAAAAAGCAAATGGTTTATTTTCAAAACACAAAGTGTAAGTTTAAAATGAAGACTTATTTCCCTAGCAATTCTGTGCCTGTAGGTGTTACGAGAGCTACACGAGAACCAAGTGTTTCGTTTCCCAGTAGGTCCCAGTAACAATGTGTCATTTGGACTCTGAGCTTTACTTCTAGTACCGAGAGCAGGGCAGAAGGGAAGAAAAAGGCAGTTAGTGAACACTGAAGAAATTCACTTAGGTCATGCCATCCCACTGGGAAATTGTGCTAGAGTATGGAATCTAGTGTGCTTAGTCATCATGTGAATATCTGCACTGAACACTTTCCCTTGTTACCCTCCCGAGAGGGACCGGGTCTACGGGAGCAAGGTAAGCACGGGCGGGCTGGTGCTTACTCACTGAT